GGTGGCTCGCCGCGAGGTCCACGGAGGTCCATCTCAGTGGGACCCAGCTCACCACCACCCAACCTCCCTCCGTTGGGCCCACCTCCCCTTGGATGGAGGCCGTTGTTCCCGGAACGTAATCTCTCTCTTTCTCTCTCTCCCTCCCACACACACACACACACACACACACACACACACACACACACACATTAATTTCAATGTGATTAAGTAAATGTGGTTTAATTTGATTAAAGTTTCGAGCTTTAATCTTTTGGTTCTGGGCTCAAGTTCATTTCAGTGTTTAAAGTTCTAAAATGGGTTTGCATGACGTCAATATGTGTTTAGACATATGAAACTCATTGGTAGAATTACGTTGAACTTGTTCCACTAACAATTTGGAATTAATTCGAACTGATGAAAGCCTACAACTTGAATCATAATTTTACAAAAAACTATCAGGGCTCAGGGTTAATCATGATTTAGTTCACAGTGTTTTGGCAACCTTGGTGAAGAACAAAGTTGTACCCGATCCGTTCTATGGGTTGGAAAACGAGTCAATCATAGATATTGCTGATTCCGGGAGAGAGTACTATACATTCTGGTTCTTTACAACCTTTCAATGTAAGCTGGTAAGTGATACATTTTAATGATAACATGTTCTTTCTTTATGGCAAGATTCGTAAGATTATCCTCGATTTTAATTTTTGTTTTCCTTGATATTTTAGCACTTGGATACTTTCCTCTAAATACATGACCCTTTTCCAGTCAGGTACTCAGCACCTGGATCTGAATTTTCGTGCAATCAATTATTCTGCAGAGGTATATTTAAATGGGCACAAAAAAGTCCTGCCAAAAGGGATGTTTCGAAGGCATTCTCTCGATGTCACTGATATAGTGCATCCTGATGGTCAAAACTTGCTTGCTGTTCTTGTTTACCCTCCAGATCATCCAGGGAGTATTCCTACTGAGGGTGGGCAAGGCGGTGATCATGAGGTATATCTATATCCATGAGCCTTCTTTTAGATTTTTTCTCAAAGTTTTATCCTTCTACATTAAGATGCTGGATTTTATGCAAGACCAATGATGGCTTCCAAAGAGTTAATTATCAAATGTATGCAATGAGCAAACTGAGATTAATATAACTATTAATTTTCAAATTTTGTTTCAGATCGGGAAAGATGTAGCTACTCAGTATGTGGAGGGTTGGGATTGGATGTGTCCTATAAGGTGATTATGTTTTACTATTGAGATTGCAGAGTGTTTTCTTTAGCATGTTGTGATCACAAACCAATGATATGCTTTTCATCTTCTTTCTAAAATGGGATGCCAGAGGATGTATTATCAGTGTAAAAAGGATTTCCAATGTAATTAACTTGTATATTGATACAGGGATAGAAACACTGGCATATGGGATGAGGTGTCAATTTCTGTAACAGGGGTGAGTTTAGTCTTAATGTTTCACTTCCTGTCATAGAATTTTCATTGTGATACTGTCTCTATAGTGATATGCTGATTTTCATCTTGTTGGGAAAGAAAATAGATTTACCTTTATATGGGCTGATCATTTGAATTGTGTTGAGGTTCAATGAAAAGTTGTTGACTCCTTGTACTGTGTCTTCTGTGCTTTATAATAAGTTCTTTTGTTTTTTGACCCTTTCCCATTTGGTGCAGCCAGTAAAAGTAATTGATCCCCACTTGGTTTCATCATTTTATGACAATTACAAGAGGGCATATTTGCATGCTACAACTGAGTTGGAAAATAAGAGCACCCGGGTTGCTGAGTGTTCATTGAATATTCAAGTAACAACAGATCTTGAAGGAAATTTTTGTTTAATAGAGCATCTTCAGACTCAACATTTGTCAATCCCTGCTGGATCACGGGTGCAATATACGTTTCCTGGGGTTCGTGACAGAACATAGTGTGCATTTTAATTATTTTAGCAGAAAACAATACTTTTCTAGAAGCCCTTTGGAGAACCTGTTTATCTTGATATTCAATTCGTTATATTTATTAGGTTTAGCTTTCAATACTTGTGTTCAGTACTAAATCAAATTTATTTGGCAGCTCTTTTTCTATAAGCCCAATTTATGGTGGCCAAATGGTATGGGAAAGCAATCCTTGTACAAAGTTTCTATTACTGTTGATGTAAAGGGATATGGAGAGTCTGATTTGTGGAGCCAATTATTTGGATTCCGCAAAATTGAGAGCCACATTGATAATACCACTGGAGGAAGGTATGGTATTTATATAAAACTTAACGTAGATTCTGTTTAACAAAATTGAGAGTCTGTTTAACTTTTAACTTGTACATTCTCCTCTCTAGGTTGTTCAAGGTCAATGGTCAGCCTATTTTTATTCGTGGTGGTAATTGGATATTATCAGATGGCCTCCTACGACTTTCAAAGAAGCGTTACAGTACAGACATCAAGTTTCATGCAGATATGAATTTTAACATGATCCGTTGTTGGGGTGGTGGACTGGCTGAGAGGCCAGAATTTTATCATTACTGTGACATTTATGGGTTGTTGGTAAGTCATGCCTGCTCTTGCTTTAACATGTGCATGTTTTGTCAGGGTTTACTGGGGAAGGAGGGATAAGTAAACTTGAATGCATCAGGTTTGAAATCTCACGGCCATGGAATTGGTTGGGTGAATCTGATCTATACTGCTCTGCCTCGGATTTAAATTTTGTAGGTCTGGCAAGAATTTTGGATTACAGGAGATGTCGATGGACGAGGTGTCCCTGTATCAAATCCCAATGGTCCACTGGACCATGATCTTTTCTTGCTTTGTGCAAGAGATACTGTCAAGCTTCTCAGGAACCATCCTAGTCTTGCCCTCTGGGTGGGTGGAAATGAGCAAATTCCACCAGATGACATCAACAAAGCTCTGAAACAAGACCTCAGGCTCCATCCACATTTTGAAAGCTCATTAAATGAAGGTGGCGAGACCCCAGTGTTGAGGGATCCAAGCCAATATCTTGATGGTGCACGCATTTACATCCAAGGATCCATGTGGGATGGGTTTGCAAATGGAAAGGGGGACTTCACTGATGGCCCTTATGAAATTCAAAATCCCGAAGACTTCTTTAAGGATGACTTTTACAAATATGGGTTCAATCCTGAAGTTGGTTCTGTAGGTATGCCTGTTTCAGCTACCATCAGAGCTACAATGCCTCCAGAAGGATGGCAGATTCCTTTGTTTAAGAAAGTTTCCAATTATTATCAAGAAGTCCCAAACCCCATCTGGGAATACCATAAATACATCCCTTATTCAAAACCAGGCAAGGTTCATGACCAGATTTTACTTTACGGGTCCCCGAAGGATCTCAATGATTTTTGCTTGAAGGTAAACTAATCTTTTGGTTATTCAGGGTGCACGTTGGTTCTATCTCTGTTTTAACTGTTGGACTTACTTTAAATCATCTCAGGCTCAACTTGTTAACTACATCCAGTATAGAGCTCTACTGGAGGGTTGGACTTCTCGAATGTGGACTAAATACACTGGTGTTTTGATTTGGAAAACACAGAATCCTTGGACAGGTCTTAGAGGTCAGTTTTACGATCATCTTCTAGACCAAACGGCAGGTTTCTATGGCTGTCGCTGTGCTGCGGAGCCAATCCATGTCCAGCTTAACTTGGCTACATATCTTTTAGAGGTAACTTGGTTACATATTTCTTAGAGGTTACTTGGCTATTTACGGAGTTTACACTGGAGACATGGCTTGAGATTGCTGTCATTGTCTCTTCCTGCCTTGAACAGGTTGTCAACACTACATCAGAGGAACTATCTGACATCGCTATAGAAGCCTCAGTGTGGGATCTAGAAGGAACATGCCCATACTACAAAGTTCACGAAAAGCTTTCGGTGCCGCCAAAAAGTACAGTGCCAATTGCTGAGATGAAATATCCAAAATCTAAAAACCCAAAGCCAGTTTACTTTCTTCTCCTCAAACTGTATCGCATGTCAGACGATCGCATTATATCCAGGAACTTTTACTGGTTGCATCTGTCTGGTGGGGATTACAAGCTGTTAGAACCATACAGGAAGAAAACAGTACCACTCAAGATTATATCCCAGGTTTTCATCAAAGGAACCACTAACGAAATGCATATGCTTGTGGAGAACACATCTAAGAAACCAGAGCCAAAAAGCCGAACCTATCGAAACGATTTTGCTACTGAACAAGGTGATGGTGATTTCGATGTAGCCTCGATGCACTCTACACATGATGGAGCAGACAAAAAACATAAAGCTAGTTGGTTTCAGAAAATATCCAGACATTTCACAAAGGAGAGTGATGGCTTGAGGGTTGCTGAGATCAATGGCAGTGACATAGGCGTGGCTTTCTTCCTGCATTTTTCAGTTCATGGATTGAAGAAGGGCCATAAGGAAGGAGAAGACACAAGAATTCTTCCTGTTCATTATTCGGACAACTATTTTTCGCTGGTGCCGGGTGAAGCTATGCCCATCAAGATCTCTTTTGAGGTCCCTCCTGGTGTCACCCCACGAGTTACTCTTGACGGATGGAATTACCATGGTGTCCATACAGTCCATTGATGGAGCTGGTTTAAAAACTTGTTCTGCCTTGTCTTTGCTACTTGTAATAGTTGAATTATACACAACGAAGAAGAGGAGGTTTATAAGGATTTAATGGGACTCCATAGAGGACTTAAATAGTCATCAAATAAAACTCTAATTATAATTTATAGCAACAAATAGTTATGAAATAAAAAACTCTATATCATGTCAAAACAGATAAAATATGCCGATCAAGGTCCTCGAAATATTGTCAAATAAATAATGGAGCATACGACATCGTTTTGTGTAACGGTGGGTGTGATGCGCGGCAAAAATCAATATATAAATAAATAATGCCATCTTTCCCGTCATCTTTGTCGGCTCTCTGTCAGCACAGCCCGCGCTCAAAGTACACACTTTTAAATGAGAGAGATCTGGTGAGTGAGACTGTGACTTTGACTGACTGTGAGAGAGAGAGAGAGAGAGAGAGCTAGGTTTCAATGGCGGCGATAGGGAAGACGAGGCTGGACTCGGGTTGGATAGGGACTAGAGACAGGGAGGTCACGGTTAGTGGCACCCAGCTCACCACCACCCACCCTCCCTCCCCTGCCCTTCCTTGGATGGAGGCCGTCGTCCCCGGAACGTAATATATATATATCTCTCTCTCTCTCTCTCTCTCCATCGCATACATATACATTGACATAATAAAACACTTCTGTGAGTTTCAGTAAATGTGGGTTAATCTGATTCAAGTTTTGAGTTTTCATTTTTTGGGTTCTGGCTGAGTTTAGATTAACTTCAATTTCTAAGCCTTAAGTTGCCTCTCTACTGTATTAATATTTTTTGCTGAGATGAGAACCCTGTATTTCAACATTAATTACAAATACAAAGATGCTTCAGGAATTCTGACTAGATTCATTTCTAGCATTCTAGTGTCTGTAGAGCATAATTATTGGTTATTGTTGCTAATTCATCTAACTCCATCTTGATTGAAGCAACCAACTGATGAAACAAATCTGCTTCTTGAATCAAAACTTGGCTATCAATGATCATAGATGTTGTAATTGACAGTGTTATGGCAACCTTGGTGAAGGGCAAAGATGTACCCGATCCCTTCTATGAACTGCAAAACGATTACATCATAGATATTACTGAATCCGGGAGGCAGTACTACACATTCTGTCTCTTCACAACTTTTCAGTGTAAACTGGTAAGCCATATCCGACTTAAATGATAAATGCAATTTAAGAAAGATTTGTAAGATTGCTCTCACTTTAGTTTTCCTCTAAATTTGCTTCACCCTTTTTCCAGTCCAGCACACAGTTCCTGGATCTGAATTTCCGCGCAATCAATTATTACGCAGAGGTATATTTAAATGGGCACAAAAAAGACCTGCCAAGAGGGATGTTTCGAAGACATTCTCTTGATGTCACTGATATAGCGCATCCTGATGGTCGAAATTTGCTTGCTGTTCGTGTTTACCTGCCAGATAATCCTGGGACCATTCCTCCTGAGGGTGGGCAAGGTGGCGATCATGAGGTACACATCCATATCCATGAAACCTATTTGATTACATTCTGTTTCTTTTAGATTTTTGCTCAAAGTTTTATCCTTCTAGTAATTACTGATTTCAGAATTTCATTCAGATACTGGGTCTCATGCAAGAGCAATGGTGACTTGAAAAGAGTTCATTATTAAATTGAGGCAAGTGCCTTACGGTATCTAATTTTCATTTCAGATCGGGAAAGATGTAGCTGCACAATATGTGGAAGGTTGGGATTGGATGTGCCCTATAAGGTGACTGTGTTTTACCATATTAAGATTGTAGAGTGTTTTCTTTAGTATTTTGTGATCATGATATCCTTTTCATCTTCTTTCTAATTTGGGATGCCAGAAAACGTTTCAGCATACTTTTTGTTTGTTGAGGAAATTTTTTCCACCTCTTTCCAGCTAAAATGGTTCAAAGGCTATCCTTTATTGTTTAGGAGGAAAAATCAATGCACTGCATTGAAAGGCCATGGTGATAAAGGAAATGATTTGTATGCATCCTCTCGTGTATCTTCTAATAGTTTGATCTAGAAACTTCTTGTCAGATCTATTTGCTTGCCTGCCTTTGCAGAATCTTCAGATATTTTTATATAGATATTTTCAGTACACGAGATTTCTGTTGTAATTCGCTTATATACTGTTACAGGGATAGAAACACTGGCATATGGGATGAGGTGTCAATTTCTGTAACAGGGGTGAGTTTGCTTCCCTTTCAGTCAGAATTTCCTTCGTCTTATTCTGCACTGCTAATGTATTTGGTCATGCATTTTTTATTATCTTCAGATACCAATTTTCAGTCAAATATTAGTTATTTGTATAAGCTCAATTTTTGACTCATTACCATTTTGTTGCAGCCAGTTAAAATAATTGATCCCCACTTGGTTTCATCGTTTTTTGACAATTACAAGAGGGTATATCTTCATGCTACATTTGAGTTGGAAAATGGAAGCACCTGCGTTGTCGAGTGTTCTTTGAATATCCAAGTCACAACAGAACTTGAAGGAAACGTTTGTTTAGTAGAGCATCTTCAGACTCAACATCTGTCAATCCCTGCTGGATCACGGGTGAAATATACATTTCCTGAGGTCCGTGAAAGAACATATGATGCATTTTTATTATCTTAGTAGAACAAAGTAAATTTCTAGAATCCCTTTTGGACTATCTGTTTATCTTGCATTCAACATTCAATACTTGTATAACTTGGCAGCTCTTCTTCTACAAACCCAATTTATGGTGGCCAAATGGTATGGGAAAGCAATCCTTGTACAATGTTGATATTACTGTCGATGTAAAGGGATACGGAGAATCTGATTTGTGGAGCCAATTATTTGGATTCCGCAAAATTGAGAGCCACATTGATACTACCACCGGTGGGAGGTAATTATAATATATATATATATATGTGTGTGTGTGTCTGTGTGTGTGTTTATTACCTTATGTGCAGTTTTTCAACATGCTAACTCTTTTTCTGCTGTGTATGTTCTGTTATCCGTACATTCTGCGCTTCAGGTTGTTCAAGGTCAATGGTCAGCCTATTTTTATTCGTGGTGGTAATTGGACAGTGTCAGATGGCCTCCTACGACTTTCAAAAGAGCGTTACAGAACAGACATCAAGTTTCATGCAGATATGAATCTTAACATGCTCCGTTGTTGGGGAGGGGAAGTGGCCGAGAGGCCAGAATTTTATCATTACTGTGATATTTATGGCCTGTTGGTAAGCTATGTCTCTCTCTCTCTCTCTCTCTCTCTCTCTCTGTGCATGTTTAACTAGGTTTTATTGGGGAAGGAGGGCAGTAGACTTGTGAAGTTAATAACTGCTAAATCTTGAGAGCATAGGGCTTAAAATTTATTGGCCATGGAATTAGTTGGGTGAATCTGATCCATACTGCTGCTGATATAAATTTTGTAGGTCTGGCAAGAATTTTGGATTACTGGAGATGTCAATGGACGAGGTGTCCCAGTATCAAATCCAAATGGTCCACTGGACCATGATCTTTTCTTGCTATGCGCAAGAGATACTGTCAAGCTTCTAAGGAACCATCCAAGTCTTGCCCTTTGGGTGGGTGGAAGTAAACAAATTCCTCCAGATGACGTCAACACAGCTTTGAAACATGACCTCAGGCTCCATCCAAATTTTGAAAGCTTATCAAATGAGAGTGGCAAGATTGTTAAAGATTTTTCTGCAGGGTCGGACGATCCAAGCCAATATCTTGATGGTAAACGCATTTACATCCAAGGGTCCTTGTGGGATGGATTTGCAAATGGAAAGGGGGACTTCACGGATGGCCCTTATGAAATTCTGAAGTTGGTTCTGTAGGTATGCCTGTTTCAGCTACCATCAGAGCTACAATGCCTCCAGAAGCACGGCAGATTCCTTTGTTTAAGAAGGTTTCCAATGATTATGAAGAAGTTCCAAACGGCATGTGGGTACACTATAAATACATGCCTTATTCAAAACCAGGCAAGGTTCATGACCAGATTTTACTTTATGGGTCGCCAAAGGATCTTGATGATTTTTGCTTGAAGGTAAAATAGTATTTTTATTATTCAGGGTGCATTTGGACTCTATCTTTGTTATGACTATTTGACTTTAAATCATTTCAGGCTCAACTAGCTAACTACATTCAGTATAAAGCTCTATTAGAGGGTTGGACTTCACGCATGTGGAGTAAATACACTGGTGTTTTGATTTGGAAAACACAGAATCCTTGGCCAGGTCTTAGAGGGCAACTTTACGACCATTTTCTAGACCAAACGGCAGGTTTCTATGGCTGTCGAAGCGCAGCGGAGCCAATCCATGTCCAGCTTAACTTGGCTACATATTTCATAGAGGTAAGTTCTATAACAAAATCATAATCAGACTAATTAATTGGCAACGTGCAAATATGCTCTGATTTCTTCTTAAAATACTGAAATTAGTGGAAAATTTACCTGTAAAGAAAGAAAGAAAAAAGAAAAGTCCTCACAGAAGGAATCCATATCTAAGTGGAACATAATAGCATATAAACATGGTTTGAAACTTGCCGTCATTTTCTCTTCATGCCTTGAACAGGTTGTCAACACTACATCAGAGGAACTATCTGATGTCGCTATAGAAGCCTCGGTGTGGGATCTAGAAGGAACATGCCCATACTACAAAGCTCATGAAAAGGTGTCCATGCCGCCAAAAATAACAGTACCAATTGCTGAGATGAAATATCCAAAATCTAAAAACCCAAGGCCAGTGTACTTTCTTCTTCTCAAGCTGTATCACATGTCAGATTATCGCATTATATCCAGGAACTTTTACTGCTTGCATCTGTCTGGTGGAGATTACAAGCTGTTAGAACCGTACAGGAAGAAAACAGTTCCATTAAAAGTTACATCCCAGGTTTCCATCAAAGGAATTAAAAGTTACATCCCAGGTTTCCATCAAAGGAACCACCTATGAAATGCATATGCGCATCCAGAACAAATCTAAGAAACCAGTGCCGAAAAGTTTAACCTATCAAAACAATTTCACTACTAAACAAGGTGATGGTGATTTTGATGTAGCATCGGTGGAATCTACACACGACGGAGCAGACAAAGAGCTTGAAGTTGGTTGGTTTCGGAAAATATCCAGACATTTCACAAAGGAGAATGGTGGTTTGAGGGTTGCTGAAATCAATGGCAAAGACACAGGCGTTGCTTTCTTCCTTCATTTTTCAGTTCATGGATTGAAGACAGACCATAAGGAAGGAGAAGACACAAGAATTCTTCCTGTTCATTATTCAGACAACTATTTTTCGCTGGTGCCAGGTGAAGTTATGCCCATCAAGATCTCTTTTGAGGTCCCTCCTGGTGTCACCCCCCGAGTTACTCTTGATGGATGGAATTACCATGGTATCCATACAGTCCATTGAGTTGGTTAATGAATTTTTTTTTCTTTGCTCTTTGTAATAGTTGAATTATACACAAGAGATCTTGCTCCTCAAGCAAAGACCAATGTAAGGAAACAATGTCCAATTTTACAGACATTATTATCCCAATGTGCTTGTACTCGAACATGGTACATCAACCTCCTCAAATGATGGTAGGAATAAAACAAAGATACAAACTGAGAATTATCGCTTTTTTGAGTTTCACATCATCTTGTGTTGCACATTGTTTCTCCCTTATTTTCTTATCAATGGAGGAAAAAAAAAGTACTGCAGGAAAGAGAGGGAGAATATCTGAGAGAGTGCGCGCTAACCAATGCAGCAGGCAGCCCAAGCACTCCCAAATGGGCTGCATGCTCCCAATTTTTGGGCTTATATTTGATGAGCCTAAAAAGTTTGGGCCCAAAAGAGTCACCGTTTAGTCTACGCTATTGTATTTTGTGCCTGAAACATCAAAGCGAAATTCTGAAGAAACTGAGAGAACTGCAGTTGGTCTCCGTGTCCCCAATTTCATGGATGAAATCCAGATGGGTCTTTCAGTTTCAGAACCTCAACTCTCACTACTTGCCCTCTTGGGCTTCGTTTCTAATCTCTCCTTTCAAAGCCAAGGTTCACCAAAACCTCTCTGCAGAAACAACCTCAAGATTGATCCTCAACCATGTAGACATAAGCCTGCTTCTCTCTCTTTGTGGAAAAGAAGGAAACTTTCACTTGGGTTCTTCCCTCCATGCCTCTATCATTAAGAACCCTGAATTCTTTTACCCCGAGAGTCAAGATGATTATCGTAATGTCCTTGTTGTTTGGAATTCTCTGCTTTCAGTGTACTTGAAATGCGGTCAATTTTCCAATGCAGTTAAGCTGTTTGACAATATGGGCATGAAAGATACAGTTTCGTGGAATACAATTATATTTGGGTTTTTAAGGAACGGGGAGTCTGATGTTGGGTTTGGCTACTTTAAGCAAATGCGTGGATCGGATTTTTATCGATTTGATAGAGCAACTTTGACTTCGATTTTAGCAGCTTTTGATGGGCCTGAGTTTTGTCACTTGAATAAGATGATGCATGGTTTGGTGGTTTTGAATGGGTTTGAGCGGGAAACTGCAGTGGGGAATGCTTTGATCACATCATATTGTAAATGTGGGTGTTTCGGTTCAGGAAGGCGGGTTTTCGATGAGATGTTTGAGAGGAACGTGATTACATGGACGGCAATGATTTCGGGGCTCGCACAAAATGAATTCTATGTGGAAAGTTTGGAATTGTTTTTGGAGATGCGTAGTGGAGTAGTGGATCCAAATTCCTTGACTTATTTGGGGTCACTCACTGCATGTTCTGGTTTGCAGGCAATAAGTGTAGGGCGTCAAATTCATGGACTTGCATGGAAACTGGGAATTCAATCAGACTTGTGCATTGAGAGTGCACTAATGGACATGTATTCGAAGTGTGGCAGCGTGGAAGATGCATGGCGAATATTTGAATCCACAGAAGAACTTGATGAGATTTCCATGACTGTTATCCTTGTGGGATTTGCACAAAATGGGTTTGAGAGTGAAGCGATCCAAATATTTGTGAAAATGATGAAAGCAGGAATTGAAATCGACCCAAACATGGTTTCAGCTGTTCTTGGTGTGTTTGGTGTTGATACTTCTTTAGGTCTAGGGAAGCAACTCCACTCTTTAATTGTCAAAAAAAGTTTTGGTCATAACTCTTTTGTCTGCAATGGGCTTATAAATATGTACTCCAAGTGTGGAGAGTTGGAGGATTCAGTCGAAGTGTTCAGTAGGATGCCTCAGAGGAACTCAATTTCGTGGAATTCCATGATTGCAGCTTTTGCCCGTCATGGAGATGGCTCCAAAGCATTACAATTATATGAAGAGATGAAAATGGATGGTGTACAACCAACAGATGTTACATTTTTGTCTCTACTTCATGCTTGTAGCCATGTTGGCTTCGTTGAAAGGGGCATGGAATTTTTGAACTCCATGAATGAGAACCCTGGGATGAGTCCAAGACCAGAACACTATGCTTGTGTCGTTGACATGTTAGGTCGTGCAGGACTTCTCACTGAGGCCAAAAATTTCATTGAGGGACTACCTGAGAACCCGGGTGTACTTATTTGGCAAGCATTGCTTGGTGCTTGTAGCATTCATGGTGAATCGGAGATCGGTAAATATGCTGCAGATCAGTTGCTTTTGGCGGCACCTGAGACCCCGGCACCATATGTTTTGCTAGCGAATATATATTCTTCTGAAGGAAGGTGGAAAGAGAGAGCAAAGACCATTAAGGGGATGAAGGAAATGGGGGTCGCAAAAGAAACAGGTATTAGTTGGATTGAGATTGAAAACAAAGTTCAGAGCTTTGTTGTTGGGGATAGAATGCATCCACAAACAGAGATCATTTATGGAGTTCTGGTAGAACTGTATAGACTTATGACAGATGAAGGATATGTAACAAATTAGAGGTTTATACTCTACTATTTAGGTGATGATGAAAAGAGATAAGAGCCAATCCTTTATTACAGACAAGCCAAAACCATGAAGGTTGTATTTCTGTTGGAAAAAGAAGAAGAATGATTTAGGTTTGTCATTCCTGTATTATACTAATTTTCTGTGTTAATATTATCTGCAGAGAAGTTCAACTGTTGAACTTTCGCACGCGGGATTATGATTTCTTATCCGGCATATTTTTCACCCCGGCAGGATAAATTTTAAAGAAGCTGGTACAAAGCTGGGTTTTCCCTTTCGTTTTGTAGACTAAACGAAAGAGAACACTAGTAGCATAAGGTATAATGAATGGTTATCTTTTACATTGCAACTCAGAAGGAATTGATTGCCAAGTTGGTCCTCTGTAGCCCTGCTGCCATTTTATGTTTGCATTGTGAAGTTCGCTTTTGCTATTTTGGGTGTATTGAAGGGTTTCTGATGAACAAGGGTGGTTAGTAGGTATTTTGGGTTGGTTGGGGAACTTTAAATGTGAAAAAATATGTCTGATATTTCTTCTTTGTGAATAGCTGGAGATTTGGGTTTATCAGGTGACTCAGCATGAAATATTTATTCAAATAATTATGTGGCTAACAAAAGAAGCCTCAGTTATGGCTTTCAACAACTGCTCTGTAAACAGCGATGAATTATTGTTATCAAGGGCCAAAGCTATTGACTACCAGTTCTTATGATGAGGGCCCAGGGACCAAAACGTCAAACTGTCAATGCTACAAGTCTTGTAGTTGCTCATCCCTCCAAGACCCAAGGATACTGTTGGCACCTTGTGCTCCATTGTTTTTTTTATGCCAAGGCTTCAAGATTCAGTGATCAATGATCATGCAATAAAATTACATGAAATTACATATTGCTTTTGAGAGAAGTCACTTGAATTGTCAAGCCAATCAATTTACTCAACTTTCTGCAGTTTCAAAATGATAAAAATATCTGGAAGAAAAAGGAAAAGTTCTTAGAAGCTAGAGAGAGAAATGGCATACAATCTGAAGAACTGCGTCACAGCCATGATGGGCTGTTTTCTCTTCATTTTACTCGTTCTGCCATCTAGTTATGCGTTTCTTTGTGAAGAATCCACAGATTGTCATGCTCTTCTTAAATTCAAGGAGGGTCTAAGAAGCGATCCCAAAGGTCATCTACAAACTTGGAACAAAGCCAATCCCTTCTGCAACTGGACTGGTATTACATGCCACCCATATCTCCAACACCGGGTTGTAGGTCTTGAACTCATAGACATGGATTTGCGAGGAGGGATATCACCATTTATATCCAATATTTCTCTTCTTACCACCCTGTCTCTACAAGGCAATAGATTCTATGGAAAAATTCCATCTTCCTTGGGAGGACTTTCAGAGCTAGCATTTCTCAATGTAAGTGAAAATAACCTTGAAGGTAATATTCCTGGTTCATTACATGGTTGCCAAAGCTTGAAAGTCGTAGATTTGAATTACAACAATCTATCTGGGATCATTCCTAAGGAACTCAGCTGGATGAAGAATTTAACGTACTTATGTCTGTCACAGAACAGACTCACTGGAGTGCTACCATCATCACTGTCGAACTTGACTGAATTGACACAACTAGAACTGGCTGTCAATTATTTTACTGGAAAGATCCCACCACAGCTTGGAGCATTAAGAAAGCTAGAGATTCTGTACCTCCATATGAACTTTCTTGAGGGACCAGTACCTGCAGCAATTAGCAACTGCACCGCTTTACGTGAGATTTCTCTGATTGAGAATCTATTAAGTGGAGAAATCCCTTTAGAGCTGGGTGCAAAACTCCAGAACTTGCAGATATTGTACATGAATGATAACAAGCTTTCTGGTAGAATTCCAGTGACCCTCTCCAATCTCTCTCAGCTGACACTGCTTGATCTGAGTCTCAAGAATTTAGAGGGGGAAGTTCCTGCAGAGTTGGGAATGTTAAAGAACCTAGAGGTTCTCTACTTTCATTCCAACTACTACTTAGGTGGCGGCAGCTCTGGTAATTCTTCCCTCAGTTTCTTAACAGCTCTCACAAACTGTTCAGTTCTAAAAAAGCTACACTTTGGTTCATGCTCGTTCAAAGAAAATATACCGTCTTCTGTAGGTGGTCTTTCAAAAGACCTCTTTTACTTCAATCTTTTGGATAATTACATTATGGGAAGTATACCAGACAGTATTGGAAACTTAAGCAGCCTAGTAACCTTATACCTGTCATACAACCTTTTGGAAGGAAAAATTCCACCATCATTTGGAAAGCTTGGGAATTTGCAGAGGTTATACTTGGAGAGAAACAGAATTCTTGGGCCAATTCCAGATGACTTAGGGAATATGCGTAACCTTGGAGTACTGAATCTTGGGAAGAATTCGATTGGCGGGTTGATTCCACCTTCACTTGCTAATCTCTCACAACTGAGATATCTTGACCTGTCTAGAAATCGCCTGTCAGGAAAAATTCCAGTGGAGCTTACTCAATGTTCTCTTATGATGCTGCTTGATTTATCTTTTAACAGCTTACAAGGTTCTGTTCCTGTACAGGTTGGCCTTCTTTCAAACTTAGCACTCTCACTTAACCTTTCAAACAACCATTTCGAAGGACAACTTCCAGCAAGCATTGGAAAGCTGGTGTCTCTACAGGCAATTGACTTCTCGAAGAATAAGTTTTCTGGTGTCATACCTAGCTTGATAGGAAGTTGCATTTCGCTGGTGTATCTGAACCTGTCCAATAACATGATTGAAGGAACGATTCCGGAGTCTCTGAAATTAATCAGTCATCTTGAAGTTTTGGACTTGTCTCATAATCGATTCAATGGCACCGTTCCAATCTGGATTGCTAATCAACAGATGATCAGGACTCTCAATTTATCTTATAATAGGCTATCAGGTGAAGTTCCATACACTGGAAGGTTTGTGTTTTTAAGTAGAAGCTCATTCCTAGGGAATGTGGGGTTGTGTGGTGGTTCTGCACTAATTGGTCTTCCTCCTTGTGAAGTTCAAAACATAAAACGCAGGATAAAGAATTGGGTAATATACTCTATGGTTGCAGCAGTTGCAGTAAGCTGTGTGCTGATTGCTTTCTTTGTTGTTCGTTTGTTCTTGAGAAAAAAGGATTCAAAATCAGCGCATGTGATGCTAATGGAATCCCCAGAACATCATGGAAGTCAAACTTTCACCCAAAGGGAACTTGAAATTGCTACATTTGGGTTCACTGAGGCTTATCTCCTTGGTAGAGGAACCTTTGGATCGGTTTACAAAGGAATTATTGATAATGGGAAAATTACTGTGGCTGTTAAGGTTCTGCATAGTGACTGCAGTCAGAGTTTCAAAAGCTTTAAAAGGGAATGTCAAATATTGTCTGAAATCAAGCACCGGAATCTTGTTAGAATGGTAGGATATACCTGGAACAGAGGGTTTAAGGCTCTTATCCTTGATTATATTGGGAATGGAAACTTGGGACAACATCTTTATCCGGGTGGACTAGAGGAAGGAGCTTGTAGATTAACTTTGAGGGAAAGAATGTCAATAGCGGTAGATATTGCCAATGGATTGGAGTATCTTCAAGAAGGCTGTCCAGTCCAAGTTTTGCACTGTGATATAAAACCAGAAAATATACTTATTGACAATGATATGGTGGCTCATGTAGCAGATTTTGGGATTGGAAAGCTCATTTCAGCTGACAAATTGAAAGAACATGTCAGCACAACAGGTTTCCTACGGGGATCGATTGGTTATATTCCCCCAGGTATTCATATTACATGAATATATTCACTTTCTACACCTTAAACTAGTATTATGATTCAAAGAAATTACTTTGGCTTGGTTAACTATATCTAATGTATATATTGCTTGTGAAACAGAATATGGACAAGGAATTGAGGTATCAGCTAAAGGGGATGTCTATAGTTTTGGTGTGATGCTGCTTGAGATGATAACACGAAGAAGACCGACCAGTAATATGTTTTCTGATGGGCTTGATTTAAGGAAGTGGGTGTGTTGTGCATTTCCAGGCAAGATTTTGGATGTTGTTGACACCACACTAAAGCAGGATGCATACCTTGGGGGAACACATGGTGCTTTAGAGGAGCTTGAGCAATGCAGCATTCAAATGCTTGATGTGGGGATGATGTGCACAGAGGATAATCCACACAAACGACCCCCTATGTCCTCTGTTGTGCAGAGTTTGAAAAAATGTCTGCAAATAAGTGGAATTTGAATCTCCAACTGTGACATATACATTTTATGTTTTGTTTTCACCTTTTGCTTGTGTGAAGTAGTTTCATAAAGGGCCCCATGAAAGTCTTCTTTTGAGTGTGTATATTGTTGGCAGCATTTTACTTGATAAAAAGCACGTACAGAAAATTAGCTTCTCAACATTTTGAGTAAGATCAAATTAATATAAGCCTATTCTGTCTGTTGAGAAAAAAGACGAAGAATTGTAATTATATAATTTTCTGTTTTGGTAAACAAGTTGAACAACTGAGATTTGAGTTTGTCAGACCAGTATGAAACATTGGTTCAAATTAGGAAGATTCACTATTATACCTAATATAGGGGCCCAAATTATTTAAAAAAACCATATATGAAATGGAGTTTAGAAACACACCTAAAACCCATTTATAACATAACAAAGAAACTTTTAACTTCTTATAAATTACAAAACTGTCATCGATTTCTTAAAACAAACCCAACTCCAAAACCTCATATAAAAAAAACCCAAAATCCTCAATAGGCATCAAAGTAATTTAATAATCATAATTAAATTCAATAGACAACAGCAACCTCAGTTATGGCCTTCAACTACTGCTCTCTAATCAGAGCGATGAATTATTATAATCAAGGGCCAAGGCTATTGACTACTAGAAGTTGTTTTAATTAGTGGCTCCAATGCCGGATACTCCTTCCATAATACATGAACTTTGGAAAGATTTGTATTAGTTCCAAACAGAAAGAACCAACTTCACCCGAAAATACAAATTGCTCTAGAAAGAAAGAATATATAGAGAGAGAAATGGCATACAATCTGAACTGTATCAGGGCAACGATTGGCTGCTTTGTCTTCATTTTACTTGCTCTGCCATCTAGTTCTGCATTTCTTTGTGAAGAATCCACTCATTGTCATGCTCTTCTTAAATTCAAGCAGGGCCTAAGAAGCGATCCTGAAGGTCATCTGAAGACTTGGAACAAAGCCAATCCCTTCTGCAACTGGACTGGAATTACATGCCACCCTCATCTCCGAGACCGAGTGATAGGTCTTGAGCTCATAGACATGGTTTTGCAAGGAGGGATATCACCTTTCATATCCAATCTTTCTCTTCTTACCACCCTGTCTCTGCAAGGCAACAGATTCTATGGACAAATTCCATCTTCCTTGGGAGGACTTTCAGAGTTAGCATTTCTCAATATAAGCGAAAATAAGCTTGAAGGTGAGATTCCTGGTTCTTTGCATGGCTGCCAAAGCCTGAAAGAACTAGACTTGAATTTTCAACTATCTTTCTAGGGTCATTCCTCCTGAGGAACTCAGCTGGCTGAAGAACTTAACATACTTGCTTCTGTCTCAAAACAGACTCACTGGAGAGCTGCTGTCGTCGCTATCAAACTTGACGGAATTGACACAACTAGAACTGGCTGTCAATTATTTTACTGGAAAGATCCCACCACAGCTTGGAGCATTAAGAAAGCTAGAGCTTCTGTACCTCCATATGAACTTTCTTGAGGGCCCAGTACCTGCAGCAATTAGCAACTGCACCGCTTTACGTGAGATTGCACTGATTGAGAATATATTAAGTGGAGAAATCCCTTTAGAGCTGGGTGCCAAACTCCAGAACTTGCAGAGATTGTACATGTTCAATAACAAGCTTTCTGGTAGAATTCCAGTGACCCTCTCCAATCTCTCTCAGCTCACACTGCTTGATCTTAGTATCAACAAATTAGAGGGGGAAGTTCCTGCGGGGTTGGGAAGGCTAAAGAGCCTTGAGGTTCTCTACTTTCATTCCAACAAGTTAGGTGGAGGCAGCTCTGGTAATTCTTCCCTCAGTTTCTTAACAGCTCTCACAAACTGTTCAGTTCTTAGAAAACTACACTTTGCTTCATGTTTGTTCAGAGGAAATATACCGTCTTCTATAGGTGGTCTTTCAAAAGACCTCTTTACTTCAATCTTATGGATAACGACATTACGGGAAGTATACCAGATGCTGTTGGAAACTTAAGCAACCTTGTAAGCTTATACATGTCAATCAACTATTTGGAAGGAAAAATTCCAGCATCTATTGGAAAACTTGGGAATTTGCAGAGGCTAAACTTGGAGAAAAACAGAATTCTTGGGCCAATTCCAGATGACTTGGGGAAGATGTCTAGCCTTGGTCTACTGGATCTTGGTAAAAATTTGATTGGTGGGTCTATTCCACCTTCACTTGGTAACCTTTCACAGCTGAGATATCTTAACCTGTCTACGAACAGCCTATATATCAGGAAAATTTCCCATTGATCTTACTCGCTGTTCTCTTATGATGCTGCTCGATTTATCTTTCAACAGCTTACAAGGTTTTGTTCCTGAACAGATTGGCCTTCTTTCAAACTTGGACTTCTCACTTAACCTTTCAAACAACCATTTCGAAGGACAACTGCCAACAAGCATTGGAAAGCTGGTGTCTCTGAAGGCAATCGACTTTTCGAAGAAAAAATTTGTTGGTGTCATACCTGGCTTGATTGGAAGTTGCATTTCTTTGGTGTATCTGAACCTGTCCAAAAACATGCTTGAAGGCACAATTCCAAGGTCTTTGAAATCAATCACTTATCTAGAAGTTTTGGACATGTCTCATAATCGATTAAATGGCACTGTTCCAATCTGGATTGCTGATGAACATATGATCAAGAATCTCAATTTATCTTATAATAATCTATCAGGTGAAGTTCCATATACTGGGAGGATTACATTTTGTAATAAAAGCTCATTCCTGGGAAATGTGGGGTTGTGTGGTGGTTCTGCACAACTTGGTCTTCCTCCATGTGAAGTTCAAAATCAAAAAGGCAGGACAAAGAATTGGGTAATTTACTCTGTGGTTGCAGCAGTTGCAGTAAGCTGTGTGGTGGGTGCTGTCTTTGTTCATGGTTTCTTCTTCAGAAAATATTCAAAGACAGCGCATGGAATGCTAATGGCACCCCCAGGAAAGCATGGAAGTCAAAGTTTCACCGAAAGGGAACTCGAAACTGCAACACTCGGGTTCAATGAGGCTTATCTTCTGGGTAGAGGAACTTTTGGATCAGTCTATAAAGCAATCATTGATAATGGGGAAAGTAATGTGGCAGTTAAGGTCCTCCATGGTGACAGCAATCAGAGTTTCAAAAGCTTTAAGAGGGAATGTAAAATATTGTCTGAAATCAAGCACCGGAATCTCGTTAGACTAGTAGGCTATGCCTGGAACACAGGGTTGAAGGCTCTTGTCCTTGACTTTATTGGCAATGGGAACTTGGCACAACATCTTTATCCTCGTGGGCTAGAGGAAGGAGTTTGTAAGCTAACTTTACGGGAAAGAATCTCCATAGCTATTGATATTGCCAATGGCTTGGAGTATCTTCAAGAAGGCTGTCCAGTCCAAGTGATACATTGTGATCTGAAACCAGAAAATGTGCTTATCAACACAAATATGGTGGCTCAGGTAGCAGATTTTGAGATTGGAAAGCTCATTTCAGCTGACAAAATGGAAGAATATCTTAGCACAACGCGTTCTCTTCGAGGATCGATTGGTTATATTCCCCCAGGTATGCATATCACATGAACATACATCACTTTCATGTATCAGAAACACCAGAAACTAAAGCAATTATGAGCAACCATCTGAATATATATATTGCTTGTGAAACAGAATATGGGCAGGGAGTTGAGGTATCAGCTAAAGGGGATGTTTATAGCTTTGGTGTGGTTCTGCTCGAGATGTTTACGCGAAAAAGACCGACAAGTAATGTGTTTTCGGATGGGCTTGATCTAAGGAAGTGGGTGGGTTCTGCATTTCCAGACCAAATTTGGGATGTTGTTGACACCACACTGAAGCAGGAGGCGAGCTCAAAAGAAGCATGTGATGCTTTAGAGAAGCTTGAGCAATGCAGCATTCAATTGCTTGAGGTAGGGATGATTTGCACAGAAGAGTCCACACAAACGACCCCTTATGTCCTCTGTTGTGCCAATGTTGAAAAAATGTCTCGAAAAAAGAGGAATTTGAAGCTCCATATATATAGGAAAACTTTTACATGTACCAGTTGTTTTTAATTTCTTTTGGCCTTTTGCTCGTGTGAAGTTTCATACTGAGGGCTCATGAAAGTCCTTTGTGAGTGTGTTTATGTCTGTATAATATTATTATTGTCAATATCAAAATCATGTGTGTAAAATAAATTGTTTTCTCACTATCAATTAGTTCCCAATCAGATGCTTATCTAATAGAACTTTTATTTTACTGGAACATTGTTCTCGGTTAGACCAATTATATCATCTCAATATTTTCTCGCTATATCGATATAGAAAAAAAAAATTAATAGAATAAAAATTTATACATCTAAAATTCGCTCAGAAGGGATTCCAACAAAAAAAGATGGAGGAGGGATCCACAAAAACTCCAACGCAGCGTTTTAGTCTTCTACTCCACTCACTCGTTAACAGAATAGCAGAGCCCCGCGTAAAAGTTAAGAGAGAGAAATGGAACGTTTATCCGTGTGCGGTTGGACACCTCCAATTTTTCCATTTCAAAAAGCCGTTAAAACTCACCGCCGTCACAAATTCACACTGAAGAATTGCAGAGACCGCACCGGAGAGGATGCTCCTCCCTCCGGTACTTCATCCGCTTTCGCTATTCTCGGCGTCCAGCCAACCTGCTCAGCCACCGACCTTAAAGCCGCTTTCCGCGCCAAAGTATTTATCTTCATTCTTCTTTTTATTAAAGAAAAATTAAATATGGCATTCATTTTTGTATATATATGTTGTTTAATTCAAATTTTTATATTTTGATTGTGAAAAAAAATAGGTCAAGCAGTTTCATCCTGATGTAAATAGGACTGGGAAAGATTCTGATATGATGATTCGCCGTGTAATTCAAGCCTATGAGGTTTTTCTGTATTTAAAGATGCCATTTTTATTTATAAATATTTTTTCTATAATATTTTTCAAGGGAAAAAAAATGGAGTTTTGCTAAAGCAGAATAATTGGTGATGATGGTGGTTAATATAATGTGTGCAGATGTTATCTAATTACAGCCGATCGGAGATAATTGAAAGGTAAACTTGGAGTTTGTTTGGTGTGTGTGTGTGTGTATATATATATATATATAATTTATCATTTTTGTCCATTTTAAGTTCACATTCTATTATATTTCTGTTGTTTTTTGCTTCCTTATTGTAATACTTGACAGTTGGTGATGAATTTGTAGGGAATGTGTAGATCCCTTTGATAATCCAGAATGTGAAGCATTTGATGTTTTCATTAACGAGGTTCTTTGTGTTGGAAAAGGTATAAAGCTTTGATTCTTTTTACGATCACATTATAAAGAATGAGCAGCACTTAGAGGGAAAAAAATCTGCAGGTTGTCCATATTCATGTGTACAAAGAGCTCCTCATGCCTTCACTTATGCTTCAACCGGGACGGCAAGAGCAACTTCTCCAGGTTGGTTTAATTATTTCGTTTTGTTTTCGTCTTTGTTTGTAGATACAGGAACAGAAGATGAAGCCTATGCTATGGTTTTGAGGATGGTGTAATTGTAGAAAGTGGAATAGGTTGCTAATTTTCTGATTAAAGTCCACTCTGTATGTGTGTTAATAGGAGTTGGGGATGATTACCAAGTTCAGCTTGCAGTTGGTCAGTGCCCAAGAAGTTGCATTCATTATGTTACACCTTTACAGAGAATTATCTTGGAGGAGTTACTTGACAGGTGGTTATTAATTTTCAAGAACAAAAGAAAACTTAACTTGTTTGTTTCTTCCTTGTTTAATCTTTTAATTAACTCTTCCTCTGTGTGGTAACTCTTGATTTTGTAGTATCTTGAACATGCCTTATGACAGTTCAGCCGAGGCGGATTTGCTATACTCGCTTATAGTTAAAGCCAGGTTTGAGAACAATCGGTATCGAAAGCCGAAGAAGCAACCCAAAGCTTCAACACAACATGTAGACTGGTTTTGACTTTGTTTTAGAGCACATATGTTGCTAGCATAGTATCTTCAGTCTTCATAGTCAAACAAAACATGTAGCTGGTCGCCACTGTATTTATAGGAGGAAGAAATTGAAATCCAGAAATGCTGATTTGGGTTGCCTGTAAAAGAGATCATTAAAGCTGCCTTGCTCAAGAAATTATATGCCAGATGCACTCAATTTCAGTGATACGAAAAATGTGTATTTTATCTTTCTTTCATTTTTTATCACTAAAAACAGCAGACGTAAAGCAGCAAACACAACTTTGGTTCGTGCTAGAAAATATTATACACAATACACATTACAATACAGGAGATAGATCAGAGACAAAGTCTATCTTGAAATGACCCTCATAAATCGATTTAGTGAAGAGAAGATCCCTGCCGCTTGATCAAACAAAGATTGGCCCTGCTCTGACTTCTCGTCTACATTTCCAAATATCATCTGCAAAAGATCAAACCAACGCCATTGAGCTTGTTTATACATTTTGTGTAATCTGTTCAAGTGAAGGGGTTGGCAACAAGTAACTAACCTCAAGTTCTTCGGCATCCGGGCGCCTAATGAGCTCTTTGGCAAGCAGATATCTGTTTGGTCTATCCTTGTCATCGTAGAACACCTTCCATGACCTGGTAAACATGCAGAAACCATAGCACTTAGCGGCCGAAACCATAGACCAAAGAGGCCAATTTAAATGTTAAGAATTTGATATGATGTTTAAATCCCTTACCCTGGATAGCACCTAAAGACAGCACCAGACTGCATAGGCCTCATTGAGTACACCGTTGTAAAAGTGCTGCACAACACAAATGCAGAAAGTAAAAATTAAGAATGACCATATATGAATGCAGAGAGATCAGAATTATACCTCAGAAAGTACCGCCTGAGCTTTCGAACATTAAATCCAACTCCAACATCCTCACTGATGAGACGGGGATTCCACATGATGAGAGGCCTTGGCTGCCAATGCACAAGAAAATGTCGAAAATTATCCTTCCCACTTTGAGATGATATTCAGTAAGTTTAAGTTAAGAAGGTATGCAACAGTAAGAATCACTAGTTTACCGGATCATCTGAGAGAGTAGATGCAAGCTTCTCTACATATTCCAACATCTGATAATCAGGAACAACCATAACCACAATCTCATCTTCACTCTGTACCGGCTTTCGGTCACTTAAGCTGGATATTAGGGGACAGAAGATTAAGATTAAAGCCACAAATGCGAACCGAAAGTAAGCTTAAGAGAATTCAACTGAAGAAGATGACTAATCAAAGTGAAGACTTAGTGGGATGGTATAAATTACCTGGAGAATCCAAAAGCGGCATCTTTCCACCGGTATTTTAGAAGTGCTGCGGCACCAGCATCAGGAAATATGGCTTTAACTCTCTAACAAATAAATTAGCATAACTTATCAACTGAGATTATTTCTTGGTTAAATATCACTTACTAAAGTTTCCTAACTAAAGAAACATTTTCAACTAACCTGACCACCAGTTTCTTCAATAAGCGTATCCAAGAAAACCCTTGACAATTCCCAGAGCTCAGCTTGTGCACCTTCTTCATCAAGAAATTGCAGCTGGGGGATTAAAAGCTCAACCTGTAACGAAATTACGAAACAAATTGAGCAGACAAGCCAAGAAAATTAAAGAATATCAACTATGAGACAAGAAAATAATATTCCTATTTCCGCACAAATTTGTTCAAACATGCATCAATCAGATTACATTTTGTTATGGCACGTACTATGGCTCTCAGTCCTCCTGAAGACACAAACGTTGCACTTGCTTCACCAGATTGCCGGACTGCACCCTCCAAGTCAGAAGGCAAGCAGCTAAACCATTAAACAAATTACATCAATGCCTTTCCAAACAATATTATGTAAAAGCATAGATATTGAAGCTTCTTTTAATCTCAATTCAAAATTAACCGCAGCTCAAAGAACACACTTGAATTATTCATTTACATAAAATGGAAATCACCATTTTCCCTCCACAATCAGCCCAATTGTACTTCATATGCACGCTAGATTATGAAAGAAAAACTGCATAAAACCCAAATTATGAAAGAAATTAAGTCACCTGTCATCTTCTTCCTCCTGTTCACCATCTTCTTCAAATGCTTCTAGGGTTGGTGGTGTTGTATCTTCAAGATTGTCCTGGGGAGGCTCACCTTGGAACTGTTCAAACTTGGCACAAATTCTTGATGAGCTAGAAGGCCAAGCTTTGGTGATTGAAATCCCATTGCACCCATTAAAGATAGAGTGAGAATAAGATAAGGGCAGTTGTGTGGTTGAGGTTGAGGTTGAGTTGGATATTGAAGAAGGGGAGCAGAAGTAAAACAAGCAGTTCGGGGATGTGGAAGCCATGAATGACGAACTTTGCCACTGGAAAAGTAGTTATAGGAGCGAAGTTACAGAGATTTTTATGTTTTATTAGATATAAATTTATTTATTTGTTTTGTGATTCAGTGCAGATCTTTATGGGGAATTAGGAAGAAAACCAATCAAGGCCTAACAAAATTGCACCTCTTATTAATTTACATATTAATAAACGACGTGAATGTTGCATCGTAGTTATAAATAAGTCGACGTCAAACTATGCGTCGTTTTTCCTTCTCACCGATTGGGCCAATTGGGCCCTTTATGGCCCAGTGAGAAGATTTTGATAGCCGTTAGAAAGAAAGAGCTCCTTCCATTTAAACCGACGGCTGTGATTCACTCAATTTCAAATTCAACGCAATCAAAACCCTACCCTGACAAACACCTCCGGTCCTAAAACAATCAACGCTCTCTCTCTCTCTCTCTCTCTCTCTCTCTCTCTCTATCTATCAGAGGTCTTCGTCAAGAATTCTCAGCCATCCCTCACTCTCACTCTCCCTCTAGAATTCACATTCTTGCTCTGATTCGCCATGGAGGGTAATTTCCTCTCTCTCTCTCTCTCTCTCTCTCATGATTTCTTGTTTTTTTTAATTTTCCTAAATCCTTGTTCAAACGGTGTAATAATGACGAATTTTGCTTCTTTTCTTCAGATCAAATGGTGGAAATGATCCCTGAAAGTTGCGACCATGTTGTTCCAGATCACGATTCCAAGCCTTCTTCAACCTCCGAAACAAGTACGTGTTCTTGTTTTGTTTTATTAATTTTCCGATTTCGTTTTTCTTCTCCTCCTCTTTTATTCTCTAATTCCTAATTTTGAAATGAAAAGGAAAAAAAAGATGAAATGTTACTTTTTTTAGAATCCGATAAAGGTTTGTGTTTTTTCCCCACTTTTCTAGTTTCAAAATTGCAAGAAAATGTTGAATTTGAGGTTTTGTTTATTTTAAACTCGAATTTGAGGTTGAATGCGATTATTACTGATTTTTATTATTATTATTTTATTTTCAGTCCTAGAGAATGTAAAATTGGGAAATTTTCTGATTAGATTTAATCTTTTATGTTTCCAGTTAAAACCCTAGAAGCTGCGACATGCGAGTTGAACAGTTATGTCAGCGACAAAGGTGTGTATTTTCTACAACTCTTGATTTTTTTATATATTTAAACTAAAGATTGTAATGATTTCAACTGAACTGTGATATTACAGATGTAAAATTAGTAGTTGAAATGACATTAAAAAAAACTAAGGTGCACTATAAATTCTTGATTTTTTTTTTTCTTTCTTTGATTTGCATGTTTGAGTTTTGATGAGTGGTTCACCAGGCTTTAAACCTTAATCTTCATATCCATTATAACATTTTCTCAGCAACTAGACGGCTAACACCCACTCTCTCATGGTACATATACATATTGCTTCTGCAACGTGTTTAATGATTTAGAATTTATTTCAGGTATTGCTACACAAGAAGTTGAGGGTTCTGATTTGGTTGATGAGAGTAGTGAGTCAAATGGAACTCAAGAAGCTTCGTCATATCAGGGACAGACCCTTCCAATTTTGCAGAAGATCATTGATTTGAGTGCCAAAATTCAGGTAATTTTTTAAATATAGCATCCTGTATTTCAATTTGCTTCTAGGAAATCTTAGAAAGTTATTGAAAGCATTTGTATATTCTTTTCCTTTTAAATTATAATGATTGACTGCCACAGGGTGAAATGTGGGTGAACGAATTTATAAAAAGTTTTTGTTTTCACTGTTTTACGGCTAACATTCTAATTCATCTTTTATATTGCACTTTTTTTTCAGGATTTAAAGAAAGACCATACTGTCTTGTCTGATCAAGTCAAGCTCACTACACATTCCTTTCCAGACCCTGAAGTTTTAAACACTATTCAGCTGCTAAGTGAGCCTTTTGCATTGATCACTCATGATTATTTACCAACTTTCCTTTCTCTTTGATTGAAATCGGTTGTTGCTGGCTCTCTAGGTATGGAACATGAACTTTTAAAGAAGAAGTACCTTGATGAGTCCTCTGAACGGAAGCGACTTTACAATGAAGTAATCGAGCTTAAAGGAAACATCAGGGTTTTCTGCAGATGTAGACCTTTGAATCCAAATGAAATTTCAACTGGATCTAGTTCCGTTATTGAATTCGAATCCTCCTTAGATAATGAGCTCCAGGTCATTTGCTCTGATTCCTCAAAAAAGCAGTTCAAGTTTGACCATGTGTTCAGACCTGAGGACAACCAAGGTATATAAGAAGTCATACTGATTTGCAATTGCATGGTTTAATACTCCACAGTTGATTGTTACGATGAATAAATTATAAACACATTTTGTATCACTGATGCTGAGTTTTTTAAATATGCAGAGGCTGTTTTTGCTCAAACTAAACCCATTGTGACTTCAGTATTGGATGGCTTTAACGTCTGCATTTTTGCCTATGGACAAACTGGGACTGGTAAGACTTTTACAATGGAGGGAACCCCTGAAAATAGGGGTGTTAACTACAGGACTCTGGAGGAGTTGTTTCGGATTTCAAAAGACAGAGGTGGTTTCATGAGATATGAATTATGTGTTAGCATGCTGGAGGTTTATAATGAGAAGATAAGGGACCTCTTGGTCGATAGCACCATTCAACCAACAAAGAAGTGAGTTTTCTTTTGCTTAAATTTTAATTGAGTAGGCTTTGCTACCTTTCATACAGAAAATTTATTTGAATCAAGTATCAACATGCACTTGGCTGTTCTTAAGACGTTGAAGAACCAAAAAATGATTGCCCTCTGGGTTTAAATTCTTCTAAAGAAATGTTGCAACTG